TGTGCTGCTATCAATTCAAGTACATACCAATTATAGTTATGGGCTTAGACACCTAATCCAACAGTTTTGCATGGCTTCAACTGGACTTCTAGAAATTAGAATAGAAGGGTTTAGCAAAAGAGAGAGGGAGAGAGAGAGAGAGAGAGAGAGAGAGAGAGAAAGAGAGAGGGGAATAGTTTTTTGAGGAACGAAGATACTTTGAATGGCAAATAAAGTTGTTCAAGCCTTCAAGTGGGAGATTATTGGGGTATGAAGTCTTTTCTAACATGAATCACTTAGAATTAACATGGAGCACTTGGGATTTACATGGAGGAATTAGATTTGGAATGGAGAATCAGAAATCTACAATGGAGCACTTGGAGTTGGAGTTGAGCATCAGGAAGGAGAATGAAGAATCAGTGATGCATTATTGTATGGATGAACCACCTATAGCACAAGGTGTGTCGTCCATGCACAATGTGTGCCACCTTAGTGCTTGATGCGCCACTCTTGTGTTCATTGTTGTGTCCCAGGAATGTTGAAATGTTGTTGATGAACAACTGAAGTAGGATGCGTCATTCGGGAAGAGGATGTGTCACTCATGATGAGGGTGTGTCATTATGGAGCATGATATGCCACCAAGGTTCATGGTGTGCCATCATGGCTCCTAATGTGTGCCACTAAGGTGCCAAGTTCACTAGGATGCTCAAGATTGTCCAAATTTTGTTCAGAAGAATGGAGATGCTCATGGAGGGTGTTCCACATGGCTGATGCGCCATCTTGATGACAGGTGCACCATCATGATGCGTCATTATGGTCCATGGTGCTCCATCATGTACTTGGTTGATGCTAGTGAGGTTGAAGGTTATAGAAGCGCCTGCATGACATTCAGTGATTGGTTGGATATTAGGGTAACGCCTTTATAGGCTAATTATGGATGGGTTTGGCCCATAAGAATTAGGTTTTCCTATGCTTGCCTATAAATAGGTCCATATCCTCATCATTATAAATTGCTAGATTTATGTGAGAGCTCAAAAAGTGAGATACAATTTTGAGTGTCGTAATAGTTCTAGAAAGCTAATAAAATCCTCTCTCCCTAGTTCGCCCATGGACGTAAGTCACCTTGACCGAATCACATTAAATATTGTGCTCAGTTTTTATTTAAGTTTTTCAGAAGTTTTATTTCCATAAGTTTTACCTAAGTTTGTTTGATATTTGTCTAAAGTTGTTAACTTGTTTTGTTGTCATCCCAACATATTTGTGGCTAGAGACTAGATGTGGGTATCTTGTCCGAATTGATTATAAATCCATACTTGATTGATGACTTGGTAAGACATGTGGAAGATAAGGTGGATAACCTATTGACCCATGTTCAATGACTGGCACCACTCAGCCCTTATGGCCATGGAGGTTCGCCTGCAGTGACTTCAAGGCATGATGCAAAGCCTCATGTTTGCAGCGCGGGATTAGTCGGTACGCGAAAACTGGCTCGGAAACCCTTTAAAAAAAAAAGACATTGAAAATGATTATTACTATGCTTGTCGGTCCAAAAGAGTAATCTTAATCTAAATCTTGATTTCAAAGTAGTGGACACCACCGTCCAAAAAATGTGCCAATGGATAAATTTTTTATGTTGATGTTGATTAGTTTAATCTATTGTGAAACTATATTCAGATAATATTAAATTTGATTCATAATGTTAGTTATTATAAGAACTTACATCTTTTTAACATTTTTTTTATCACCACCCAACTAAAAAACATGAAATTTTTATTCATTTTGATAGAGATTCTAAGCGTTGTAAGTCATTTCATGATACATGCTACACTATTCAGAAACCGAGTACCAACTTATCAAACTCAAAATCAATAACATTTAAAATCTTGCATAAATAACATAACAAATGAAATAGATTCTTGGTACAAGAGTTTGAATTCATTTAAAAATCGGCGGTGTCGTTACACCTTTTCTGAAGCGTCCAAAGTCATGATGGTGCTGAGGTTCATGGGTGATATGTAATCGGTAGTGCCCACCAGAATGTTTTGTACGATGAGTCTATTCGCTTTCTCTGATGGGTGGAAAGGATCCCAAAATGCATATATTTCCCTATTGGGACACAAATTTGATAATGGTGTGCAAAGTCCGATTCCATTGTATGGTCCTTGCCCACAACATGCTATCTTCGCTGTAACAAATCCTACAAAGACATACATAAAAAGGGTGATTAACTTTTTAACAAAATATGCGCTAGACCTAGCAAAGTATATATCGTGTGTCGGGTCGGGTTAAAACATTTAAACGGGTTGAGACTTGAGAAAGCTTGACTGTAACCTGAAAATATTTTGTCGTGTCAACCCGTTCAAATTTGTGGCGAGTTCATGTTAGGCTTTGGGTTTATGCCTTTTAACGTGTCATGTCGTGTCGTGTCGTGCAATGTTTCAACACTCAACATAATGACAGTGTAATAGTTTGGGAGGTGGAATTGAAAAAGTGAATAACCAGAAAGAGTAGTATTTAGGAGACAGAAGAACAAAATGTATAATAAGTTTAGAGGGCAAAGTGGTAGGAGAGGAGATGGGGAGGCAGATGGGCGAGGTCACGAGGAGGAGAAAGTGGCCGAGTGAAACTGTGGAATGTGAGAGGAAATAAAAACTGAAAATGAAGTCTTGGTTAAGGGCGACGAATTTGTTATACATTACTAAACGATCAAATCCAAAGTTTTTTTATATCTATTTTGGTTTGGGTAAATCTAATTTACCTAATTACATATAAATAAACAATATAAATATACCGATCATTTTCAAGTCAGAAGTTTTGAACCCTGCCTTAATCGTTCAGTTTTCCGTGGTCGTGATAACAGATTATTGAACGGGTTAAACTCTCCTACTCAAACTCATTATTTTGTTTGGAGTTCATGTCGTGTGAGCTTGTACGTAGTTGCCATATTACTTTTTTGTATCACTTGTGATTAGCATTTTCTTACTTCTCAATTATTTATTCAAATATTGGTCACGCATACAAATCATAGTGTTTTAATTTTTCTGTGTGAGCATTAGTCCGCTGATGATTTAGGAGACATACCATATCTTCCGGGGTCAGAGATGAAATCGATGCTGGATTGACGAATATTGACACCAATAAACGTAGTACTCCTGACCTCTCGGTTGAGATCGTCTAGCATTTCTTGGAGTTGCGGGTTAAACAATCCTGCTGCTCTTTGCAACTCAGCCGAACATTCTCCATTCCTGCTGTGTTGGGCTAGTTCCGCTGGCACACAACCTATTGGGCCCGTGCCCGTCACCAAAACCCTACGTAATCCCAATTCGTAAAGCCTCTGCATTCAAAAATAGATCGGTTAGTGGTGAAAATTTCAACATTTGGTTTGCAAGTTCTTTGATTTATCAAGAGAAAAAGCCAGACAACGTCTTGACATAATACGTCACTGAGCATGATGCAATTCAATCACGTCGAATCATGGCACCACAAATTTCTCGTGCGATGTGATTTTACTTATGTTTGGTGGCCTCCTTAACTACAACGACCGAAATAGGCCACCAGAAGGACTCAACTCGTGAATTTTGATATAATGTACCCTCTTGGTCTGTAATAACTTCATATTAAATGCGTTTGGTACACTGAAAAACCTACTTCAATTCTATCTTTAGTAATAAAAATGCTGTCAGAAAGATGCATCTACCTCCTTTCTTTAGAAATAAATAAATTTCTGTACACCCCTTATATGCTTTTATGTTATATAATAATCAGTTGAATCGTCGAGTGTAGCAAAATAACATAGTTCTCATATATGTTCTTCGACATGCTTCAAATTAAGGGCTCATGCTCATGCATGTATCATATACTAAAAAACAATAAAGGTGCACTGAAAAGTAACTTTACCATTAGAATTTTCCGGTACTCGGAGATGACATATACGACATAATTGGGAAGTGCAAACTGCCGAGATCTTGCAGAAAAAGGGACCAAATAGTAGTTGTTCACAAAGTCATTGCCTCCCAAAGTCACGAGTGTTAAAGATTGGCTTATAAGCTTTTCAGTCTCTTGAGGACCAATTATATCACTCACCCTTCGCTTGTATTGTTCCAAGTTTGCCATTTGCATTGGCATCCTTATGATGTTTGCCTGCACCACATATATTATATCATATGAACCACAAATTCCGTAATGCATTCCAATAAAATATTCGTCTTAAAGGTTGCACGAAAGCCAGATTTAGATATTTTAAAATATTGAGGATACTCTGTGTGTGTGAGTGTCTTTGATTTATGCTTTAAGAGACTGGGAAAACGTGGGCTTCCTATCAACATGAGAATTGAATGCAACTAAATCATAATGTTCAGGTGCAAGGAAATAATATGGAGGTCTAAAACCAAGGACCTGTTTTATATATTATTACATCTTCACTTTAGAAAAAGAAACCAACTTTAAGTACTTTGAATGTGAAGGTTGTTACAAGACTGATGGTTTTCCCTTAAATTTAAAGGTGTCATTTTGTCAGACGTCCGCTTTATCCCGCCCATACATTGGCAGACAATACACAGATCTGAACTCTGAATTTATACGGCACGTGAAAAAATAGCTAGATGCCCTTGAATGAAGAGTGAAGAGTGTAATTAACTTACAAACTGGGCTCCGGTATCGTTGAGTACTCCAACTCCAGCAGAAGCAAAATTTGCTCCAACAAGTAACTTTTGACCTGTGAGCATAGGACTCAAGTATGGCAATGTTGATTCTGCACCTATGGCTTCACCTGGTGATAATCAGATCTAATAAATAATTAGAAAAAAATAACAAAACAAAAAAAACATAGAAAGTTGTTTGAATATATTTTTGCTCTACATATAACTATTACACAAAACGAGATAGCATTGACGCGCGGAATTGTAACAGACAATGTTTTAGGCCAGGTACGCTCACTTATAAAAATATTAGAACGACAATGTTTTATGTACTGCTCATGCCTGATGCCTGAAAACGTTAATTCAGTTGTTATATAT